GATCTGAATTCTGATCCACATGTTTTTGCTCAGGGTGCGCCATCTCTCTGACATTCGCTGTTCTGATTCGTTTTAATGGGGTCTCTGTCGGCCCCAGCTGTCCTGTAACTCACTATGCAGACCAAGATGACCTTGAACTCACAGAGATGCGCCTGCTTCTGCCTCTCCAAGTGCTGGGATTAAAGGTGTACACCAGGCTTTGCCATATTTTTCTTACACAGACTAATTATTAGACTTTCTCATTGAGTGGAAAAACAGTAGAACAATAGTTTTTAAAAAAACAAGGTTACTGTTTTGTTTTAATAGTGTTGTTTTTGTTTTGGGGGCTAATTTGGACAGTCTCACTAGGTAGCTCTAGCTGGCCTGGAACCCACAAGTTGGCTTTGGACTCACTGGAGTTGGACTCTTGTTTGTCACTACTCTAGAGTTTACTGTTATGTTTGTCGTTTGCCTTGTATGGGTGCCTGCAGAGGCCAAAAGAAGGTGTGAGATTGCCTGGTGCTGGAGTTGCAGGCAGTTGTGACTGCCTGATACAATATGAAAATTGGAAACTGGTCCTTTGGAAGAGCAAGGAACACTCTCAATTGCTGAGCCATTTCTTAGGCCCCTAAATAAAGGGGAGGGGTACATGACATAGAAATGGCGATCAGAGGACAGCAGCTCTCTCCTTCCACCATGTGAATTCCAGGTACTGAAATTAGGTTGCCAGGTTTGGAGGAAAGCACTTTCACTGGATAAGCCACCTTAATAGTCAATATTTTAAATGAGTTGTAAAGTCTACATAAAAAGCTAACATTCTCAAATTGTTCATTTTTATTTACAAAATGGTATGATTAGCACAGTTGAAATAGCCTGGCTGAGTATGGTGGCAAACACCTTTGATCCCAGTACTCGGGGGGCAGAGGCAGGAGGATCTCTGTGAATTTGAGGTTAGCCTGGTCTACAGAGTGAGTTCCAGGACAGTCAGGCCTACACAATAAAACCCTGTCTCAAACCAGTAATAATAATAATATAGTTACAGTTTTGCTTATTGACCCACCTTTGGTTATAGCGTGTTGACCATGAGCTTTGTGGTAGGTAATTGAAAAGGCATTACACCCTTTCATTCCAGAAGACTGGATAGGGGTCCTGGACCCGTGGAGTAACGGAGTTCCCCACTCCTTGATTTTGTTTTTTCCTTGTGTACCACGGCCCAGATGCAAGAGAAGAGAGTGATGTGTCGATGCAGACAGGCACACACACGAAATGCATGGAGGGAATCCTGCTTCCTCCTGCCAAAGGAGGAAGACAGAAAACTTCACACTATAATTATGGCCAAACACCACAGGAAAAGTATGGCTCTCGCTCCTCTCTGCAAAGGTTGAGAGACCCAAACTTTATCTTCACCAAGTCTAAGCACTTGCCACAACCTGCCACTAGGGGGCAGCAACAACTTTCATCCCGGTGGAGCAGTGGGCGTCTCTCCTAGTCTTACCTCAGAGAACACTTGGAGAGACTGGACTTCCACCCCAGCCATTGGGTACAAACAACACCTCCACAGCCAGGCTAAGTGGAGGCTAAGTGAGGGGCCTGGACTTGTTTCTACCTCTACTCGGTGATAATGTTGGAGGGACCTCTTTCCCTGACACAGTAGTGGTAGAAGAGTCCAGATGTAACAGATTTCATAATATCCCATATTCCCAGGTTTCAACTGAAAGTCATTCTTTATACTAAGAGACAGGAAAACAAAACAAAACAAACAACAACAAAGCTACCAGCACGTTCAGTCTCTCTCTCTCTCTCTCTCTCTCTCTCTCTCTTTCTCTCTCTCTCTCTCTCTCTCTCTCTCTCTTTCCTTCTCTCTCTCTCTCTCTCTCTCTCTCTCTCTCACACACACACACACACACCTCTGAGAATCAGAAAAATATAATTTAAATGAAATAGACCATTAACAAAGCAGGTACTTGGAGGAAATAGAAGCTAGATTTTTTTTTTCCTGTGATGGTTTGAATGATTATGGCCCCCATGGACTCTTACATTGGCTTACCTGGTGGGACTGTTTGAGAAGGATCAGGAGGTGTGGCTTTGTTGAAGGAGGTGTGTCACTGGAGACTGGCTTTGAAGCTTCAGAAGCCCACACTACTCCAGTTGGCACTCCATGGCTTTGTGTGTATGGATCAATGTGAGCTCTCAGTCACTGCTGCAGCGCCATGACTCCCCGCCTGCCACCATGCTCCCTGTCATAATGGTCATGGACTCAACCCACTGGAATGGTAAGGCCCAATTAAATGCTTTCTTGTATAAGTTGCCTTGGTCATGGTATTTTTGTCACTGCAATAGAGAAGTAACTAAGACATTTTCATGTATCTTAAAATACACAAAACAGTTAAACGGAAGCCACGCATTGCAGAGTACACCTTTAATTGAAGTTACTAAGGGAATGTCACTTGTCCTGACCTTACTTTGAAACCATTTTATGTCTGCTCAGGTGCTTTTTGGCCCTTAAACCCATGAATAGTCATGTCTGCCTTGGCAACACATTCAGAACCTTCCACCACATTCAGGTACATAACCAAAATATCTGCTGAATGTATAGCCCCAAAAATTGTCACCAGGTTCTCTGACACCTGACAATGATGTCACTGTGGGTCTTGCCTTTAAAAATGCTATGTCCCTAAGCTTGGGGGGCGGAGAGTGTTTCTGAGGCTCTGGGCTGTTCATGGTCACTGGCCAATACGGACTCCAATCTGACCTTCTATGCATGGCAGCCTGCAAATTTCTCACATGAACTATAACATACCCCAGCACTTCAGGGAAGACTGAGGCCGAAGGGTCGCAAGCTGGAGGCCAGCTTGGGCTATAGAGTGAAACTTGTTTTGAAGTACCTCCCACCAAAATACAATAGAATAAAAGCTATAAGATGGCATTCTTTTTTAAAAATATTTTTATTTCATTTGCATTGGTATTTTGCCTACATATATGTCTGTGTGAGAGTGTCAGATCTCAGGATTACAGACAGCTGTAAACTGCCATGTGGGTGATAGGAATTGAACCTAGGTCCTCTGGAAGAACAGCCAGTGCTCTTAACCACTGAGCCACTTCTCTGGCCCCAAGACAGCATCCTTAAAAACAAAACATGTATTTATCATTTGTTTGTTTGTGTGTGAGTACATGCATGCCATAGCTAGTGAGCGCGCGGCAGTCAGAGGACAACTTGTGAGAGCTGGCTTTCTCCTTCCTTCATGTGGACTCATAAAGGAGAGCCAAGCCTTGGGGGCCGGCGCCTTTACATACACAGCCATCTGCATGGCTCACAACACAGTATCCTCAGAACTACTAAATCTACACTTAGCAAGTACTAAGACAAGAGCTCCAGAAAAAGATTTTAAACGCCCCGTCTGAGCCTCAGAACGAAAAGCCAGTTGAATTATTTGATTACATTTGTTTCTTCATCATTCATATTTTATAGTGGCTCAAGTTCTCAGCAAAAAAAAATCATCAGTATAAATAATCACCCATCATCAGAAGTAAGATTACCTTCACGTACTGCCACAGTCGATTCATGCAAATGTATTGCCTGGTTCTAAAAACCAAGACTTTGGAACGTGTGGCAGAGGCTGCCTAGTAGTGGTTCCCCCAGTTATTTTTTCCCAGGCTGCCTCCATGTTAGGCTTAAAAGCCATCTTACAGTAAGGGCCGGGCGTTGGTGGCGCATGCCTTTAATCCCAGCACTCGGGAGGCAGAGGCAGGCGGATCTCTGTGAGTTCAGGTCCAGCCTGGTCTACAGAGTGAGTTCCAAGACAGCCTCCAAAACAATGCAGGGAAACCCTGTCTCAAAAAACCAAAAAAGAAAAAAAAAGTCATCTTACAGTAAAAACACACTAGGTTCATTCCTGTTCAAGATTAAGCCTGTTTTTCAAATATTGGGCCATGTAACCTTAACTACAGATGGTTCTGTACTGCTTGTTCCAGGAATAGCAATCATGTCTTTGTTTGAAAAAGTTGTTTATAACCGTCTTACAACCCAACCTTTGTTTCAAAAGGTTATATACCACCTATGACTACTTAGCTGTGACTACCTGTTGTTATGCCTACCTTGCAACCTTGTCTTTGTTTCAGGAGGGACTAACTTGTTATGTTTATGTTTCTGCTCCTGTAATTCTGCCTATTTTGTCTGCCAAATGCCCCATTTGGAAACCTGAGCTAGAAAAGCCTTGGCTTCCTCATATCCAACGCTGACCCATGAACCCTGCCTTAGTGGGAGGCAGTCAGTGTATGTGGAAAAAAAAGGTTGCTTTAACTAATCACTTGCTTTAGTTAATGAGGTCATGATGACTTGTGTCTGTGGTCTTTCTCCTCCATCTTGTGATTAACATACTCTTTTTAATGGCTGAGCCATCTGTCCAGCCCAAACCTGAGTCTTAGGCCTACGTATATATTATACGTTCCTAACTTTTGTTTTCCCGTGCACACTAGCCTCTGTAGTTTTTTGATTCCTGTGACTTAACCCTGCTCTAGCCTCAGAGTTTTGCTTTTTCCTGAACCTTCCCCGCCCCCACTAGGAGATGTCTCTCCCTGAAATAGCCTCCAGACCAGTGTAGTCCTCATTCTTGTAGGTTTAGTGATGAGAGCTTTACTTAAAAATTCCCAGTCCTTCACTACTGGTCTGAACCTTTTTTTTTTTTCCAATAATACTATTTTAAGCTACGTCCATATTGTTTTTTCCTACTAGGAAAGAAGCTACATGGGGACGGGGATCTTCTTTACCTAAAATTCCTTCGCAAGGAAATGAATTCGTGAATGAATGAATAATGAATACACCTGTGGACCACTTCTTGGGGCTCATTCAGTTGAGTGAACAGAGATCTTAATCTGTACAGAACTGGTGCCACCAATAGGGGCAGTCTGGGCCATGGACAAACTGCGAGAACAGCTTCAATCCCCCAGCCCAGCTCTCCGAGCGTAACTACGGCTGCGCGGAGCGTGCGGTGGGCGGGGCTGAGCCGCTTCAGGAACGGTCGGGAGCCAGCGAGACTTCGGTCCTCCTGGTGGGCTAGAGCGGCGCCACCGCCTGGCGCACGGGGCCATGGAGGAAGAGAAGAGCTTCTCGGATATCTGCGGCGGCCGCCTGGCCCTGCGGCGCCGCTACTACTCGCCGTACTGCTGCGAGTTCGGCCTCAGCTCGCCTCGGCTGTCGCTGCGCTCGCTCACCGCCGTCACCTGCGCCGTGTGGCTGGCGGCTTACGGACTCTTCACCCTGTGCGAGGTAAAGGCCGGCGCACGACCCTCGCAGGCGGCCGGCTTTTCCAGGTCTCGGGGCTGACCCTTGGCACCGGGCCGGAGGGTAGGGACTCCCTGGGTCCCCGGACGCCGTCCCGTGGTTGGACTGTTCTCCCCAAGAAGTTCGTGCTCCTGGACCTTCTCCCTCAGTGGGTGGCTGCCGGGCTCACCCCCGGAGCATACCTCCTCAGAGAACTGTCAGCGCCTGCTCCTCCCCCTGCGGTGTCTGTAATAGCCAGCCTACCACAGAATTCCAGAAAAGTGCTTTTGCCCACACAGCTGTGCACACAGGAGTGCTCCATTTCTTCCTTATCTCTGCGTTTCATGAAACCTACCTCCCTTCTCCCAACTCTTCCCCAATTTAAGTTCAGACTTTGTAGTGTTTTGTGTTGTTTTCCCTTTCTGAGCCTCCTTTTTCACATATCTAAGATGGAATTAATGGTTCATAAGATTGTGAAGGTCAAATGCTGTGAGTTTGTGACAGTTCTCAAGTAAAAGAATCATCCAGCTGGCCCTTGCTCAGGAAGAGTTCTAGTTTCCTGTATAGTGCCCTGAAATGCATATATTATCCCAGGAGTGGTCTGGCCAGAGCTAAGAACACCAGAACTGTTTACTTCTGTAGTTTGCATATTGCGTATATTACAACATCCATTAGCTCCCCCCTCTTTGTCTCAGTGTGTATTAGTACTGGCTGGCCTGGAACTGGATTATAGGCCAAGCTGTGTAGAGCCTGCCTCTCTGCCTTCCTGGTGTTGGGATCAAGGGTGTGCTTCCTCACACCTGGCCCATTAGCCTTCGTGACATCAAAGCATATGACAGAGTGAAATTACATAGAAATAGATGAAATTAAGACCACTAATTTAGGGCCTGGGGGATGGCTCAGCAGGTAAGGACAGCAGCTGTTTACCTGATGACCTTAGTTGACTCCCCAAAACCCACATGAAGGAAAGAACAGTTCCCAGAAGTTGTCCTCTGACCTCCACACAATAAATACTATGCTGGATATGGTGGTGCACACCTTTAATCCCAGCACTAGAGAAGCAGAGGCAGGAACATTTCTAAGTTCAAGACCAGCCTGATCTACATCAGTGTACATCCCCAGCTCCGAAATAACCAGGGCTACACAGTGAGATCCTGTCTCAAACAAAACAAAACACACAGATAAATAGTATCGTTTAAAGACCCTAATTTGTACCAATTTGCATCTAAAAGTTTCTTCACAGATCAGTTGAAGTTATTAAGTTGACCTAACCCTCCCATCAAATGTATAACATAGTTGAATCTTTATTCTGTTTTTGGAGGGGTATAGAATTTCTCTGTGTCCTGGCAGTTGCTCCTAAATGACCACATGGACACTTGATGACACATGCTCATCCGATAGCTTAGGCTTGTCTCCAGCCAGCTCTTACAGTTTAAATCCACCCATTTCTGTTAATCTATGTGCTGCCCCAAGCTCATTTACCTCCTCTATGAACTTCCCATGTTGCTTCTTCCCAGTCTGGCCTTCAGCTCCCCAGACTCTGCCCTCCTTCTTCCCAGCATTCTCTCTTCCCAGAAAATCCTGCCTGGCTATCTGCCTATCAGCTTTTTATTAACAATGAGAGCCACACATCTTCACAGTATACAGAAGGATTTTTCCATAGCAGAGGGGCATTAGTGTCTCGCCATGAAGCCCTGGCTTGTTTGAACTCACTCTATAGACCAGACTGGACTCGAACGCAAAGACATTCAACAGCCTCTACCTCCCAAGTGCTGGCACTAAAGGGGTACATCACTGTGCCCAATTGAACTTTAATGCTACCCTGTGTTCTAGATACCTGTGCAATTATCTCAAAGGAGGACCATATTAAATGCACAGACTGCTAGCTGTTTTGCAGAATTTGTAACTTCGGACTTAGAAGAAAACAGAGGTTCAGAAAGTGTGATGATATAATAGTCTTTTTTTTTTTTTTTTTTTTTTTTTGGTTTTACGAGACAGGGTTTCTCTGTTTTGGAGGCTGTCGGTCCAGCCTGGCCTCGAACTCACAGAGATCCGCCTGCCTCTGCCTCCGGAGTGCTGGGATTAAAGGCATGTGCCACCAACACCCGGCGATATAATAGTCTTGATGTTGGCAAAGTGACAGGTCTGAGCTTCATAACCAGAGCAGCTTGACTTTGAAATCCCTTTCCACTGCGCTTTAGTCTAGCAGACATCAGGCAGTCATGTTTGTTATTTGTTGGTTTGTTCTGAGATACAGGACCTTGTTATGTAGCCTAGGCTGTCCTCAAACTCTCCATCCTCCAGTCTCGACTCCGGTCAAGTGCTGGAATTACGGGTGTGTATACTACACCCAGCTCAAAATTGGTTATGCCAGTTATGCTGCTGTACTCATTTCTCGCTTGCACATTTACCCTAATGTCCCCTAAGTGCAGTACTAATGTATGCCCCCTTATACTCCAACACTTCCCAGGGGCTCTGTGTGCCAACATTTCAGATCTTTGCTCCTGTTCAGAATTATTCACGAAGGTAATGAGTATCTGCAGTGCAAAGAACTCTGAAAGGAGACATTCAAATATGTGACTTAAAACCCTAACTCTAATGAATAGTGCATTGTTAGAATTGTAGCCAGAAAAATGGACTTTGAGGCAGATTGTCTTAACAGAAAGCTAAGTGGGTGAAATTCCCTAGGCATGTACTGTTCTTCATCCTGTCATTCTTGCTTTTGAATTCACAGTTCTGTTAACATTATCCCAGCCGTCAGCACGCACTACCTTCTCTGCACCAGTGAGGTCATGCTGACTTGGAAGTCTTCATGGAACAGTCCTGTGTGCTTTGACCTCTCTGTGTCCCTCTGTTTCCCTCTTCATCCTTTTATGCCCCTCGTGCTTCCTCCCTCCCTCTCTCCCCTTCTCCCTTTCTACTGCCTTCCTTTGACACAGTCAGTAAATCAGTATTCCAGACTCTTTTATGTATCAGCCTTGCATCTGAGTTTCATCTTGCCTTTTTTCCATAATGCTTATTCAATTTGGACTGTTTACAAGACACTGCCCTACACCTGGAAGTTAATTACCCGAAATTTGATGTTTCTGGGTCATCAGGGGCCCGGTCCTAACTCCTGTTTCTCAAACAAAAATTATCTCAACAGAAGTCAGCAAGCCGTTTCTTTAAAAGGCCAGTTTAATATATTAGACGTTGTAGGCCTCTGTCCCAGATTCTTTTTGTCCTTTTTATTATTATGTGTATGGGTGTTTTGCCTGTATGTTTGTCTTACCACATACTGGTCTGGTGCCTGAGGAAGTCTGAAGAGGGTATCAGATCCCCTGGAACTGGAGTTATAGACAGTTGTGAGCTACCATATGGGTGCTAGAAATCGAACCCAGATCCTCTGGAAGAACAGCCGGTGCTCTTAAATGATGAGCGGTTTCTCCAGCCTATTTTTAGTTCTTTGTTGTTGCTGTTTGTTTTATAGAGACAGTGTCTTACTGTGTAGCCTTTGCTGGCCTGGAACTCACTCTAGACCAGGCTGACTTCGAATTCAGAGATCCACCTGCCTCAGTTTCCCGAATGCTAGGACCAAAGGAGTGCACCACCATGCCTGGCTGGGTTTGATTTTGTCTTGTTTTGTTTTGTTTTGAGACAAGGTCTCACTATAAACTTTGGCCCGCCATCTGCCTCTGCCTCTCTAGTACTGGTATTAAAAGTGTGCACCGCCATGCTTGTCCAGTTAGGATTATTGCAGAAGGTAGATGCTACAGTTTAGATTTGATATGTCATCTGCACCAATTAAGTCCTGCTTTATAGGCTATTCCTGGATGCTTTCATCTTAATGCCCTCATACCCCCTCCCCCACTTTCTTTCTCCATTCTTTCTACACATTGTTTGAAAAATATAATAATAAATCAGCCTCTTCTCTACAGCATCTTGTTGGCCAGGATTGCCGCATCTAAACCAATCAAAATTTATTCCAAATTCTATTAGGAAAAGTATAAGTGGCTATTTATCATTCAAGCAGTAGTATCAGCTACTGTGCTAAGTATTTCACAGTTGAAGTTCTGGCTATAATTTTGTGCTATATACTAGAAGGGGGACTATGAGAGAGAAAGTACTGGGTCTTTAAGTTGTAATTTTGAGAAGAAAATTTTCTGAGAGATGTGATGGCAGATGCTTAGCTGGGAGCTTCCTAGACCTGTTCATTAGTAGTCTGGATCCTTTTCATTCTTCATGCTGTTCAGACACTTTAGGAGCTCAAGAGAAAGTAATTTCCCCTTCATGCACGTTCCCTCATCTATTCACCTCTCAGCATAGTGACCAGAGCAAAGGCCTTCTCCTCATTATCCATTTATCTCACTATGTAGCATAGATATATACATAGGAGCATTTGGTGATCTTACTGCCTGTGTCTGGCTCTCTCCTCAGAACAGCATGATCCTCTCTGCTGCCATCTTCATCACCATCATAGGCCTGCTTGGTTACCTCCATTTTGTGAAGATTGATCAGGAGACTCTATTAATCATCGACTCACTTGGCATCCAGATGACTTCATCCTACGCTTCAGGCAAAGAAAGTACCACCTTCATAGAGATGGACAAGGTCAAAGATGTTATCATCAATGAGGCTATTTACATGGTAAGTGTTTCGGTGGTATCTCTGGTCTCTCCAGAGGAGGCAGTCAGCCCATGGGATATGCTAGGATCTAAACTGAGTCTTAAAGCACTCATTGTCACAGAATTAAACTGAAGGAGCCTCCATTCCAATACAAGTAGTTCATTTTTGGCTGGCATGCCTGTGAACCATAAAAGAGAAACTTACATTAAAATAAATTTCTTTATAGTCATGCTTTCCTCGGTGATGGGGTATGTTCTAAGGAATGCATTGTTTACCAGTTTGCTGGTTGTACAGACATCTCAGAACACATTTACACGTGGTATAGTTTACTCACTCAGACATCCCACGATGAATCAACATATGCAATCAACAAGATGCTTGCAGTTGCTGCCAAGTGTAACACTGCCTCCTGAGTGCTGGGTTAAAGATATGTGTCACCGTGCCTGGCTAACAGACTTTTTTTATAAGTAGGAGTATTCTATTAAAAGCATAGCGCATGCATAAACCACGACTGTGGCAGAGGTAGTAGATTGTCGTGAAGAAGAATCAGCATTTCACCTTTTATCTTGTAACTCAGATGCAAAAGCATTTCTTGTTTTTTGGTTTTTTGTTTGTTTGTTTGCTTTCTTTCTGTGGGAATGAGATCTTACTGTATTGCTCAGGTTGGCTTTTAATTAACGTAATTTCAAGCGACCACTTGCCTTGGTCTCTTGGTTGGTAGGACTTCCAGTTCATACTAACATACTTAGCTTTATCTTTTTTGAAGTGGGGGTAGTCTTTTAAAGGACAGAATGTAGGCAAAGATACACATGAAATCATGACAGAAGATATAATTATTCCAGTTTCAGCTCTGCCATTTTTTTTTCTTGTTTTGTGGTGGATACATGGCATAAAAGTGTAAGTATAAAGCCCTAAGCAGAGCTCTGTGGCTTCAGAGCAGACATTCTAATATATAGAATTTGAGACTTGGCAAATCTAGCTATGACATTTCTATTTACAAGTACATTACATTGTGGTAACTTTTTTCTTCCTTAGGCATGGTGACTATGCCTTTCATCCTAGAATCTAGGAGACAGAGGCAAGTAGATCTCTGTGAATGAGGCTAACCTAGTCTACATAGCAAGTTCCAGGCTAGCCAGGGATACATAGTAAGACCCTATCTCAGAAAAACAAAACAAAAAGATTTTCTTATATATCAAATAAAAATAAAGGATGAAAATAAACTTTTCTTCTACTTCAAAAGTTACCAGAGAAAATGGAAAGATCTCCCATGCTCTTGGATAGGTAGGATCAATGTAGTAAAAATGGCAATCCTGCCAAAAGCAATCTACAGATTCAATGCAATCCCCATTAAAATCCCAGCACAATTCTTCACAGACCTTGAAAGAACAATAATCAATTTTGTATGGAAAAACAAAAGACCCAGGATAGGCAAAACAACCCTGTTCAACAAGGCAACGTCCGGAGGCATCACCATCCCTGACCTCAAGCTCTATTATAGAGCTATAGTCCTGAAAACAGCTTGGTATTGGCACAAAATAGACAGGTAGACCAATGGAATCGAATTGAAAATCCGGGTATTAACCCACACACGTACGAACATCTGATCTTTGACAAAGAAGCTAAAAATATACAATGGAATAAAGAAAGCATCTTCAACAAATGGTGCTGGTATAATTGGAGACTGGCATGTAGAAGAATGCAGATCGATCCATGTTTATCGCCATGCACAAAACTTAAGTCCAAATGGATCAAAGACCTCAACATAAATCCAGCCACACTGAACCTCTTAGAAGAGAAAGTGGGTGGTACCCTTGAACGAATTGGTACAGGAGACAGCTTCCTGAACATAACACCAGTAGCACAGACAGTGAGATCAACAATTAATAAATGGGACCTACTGAAACTGAGAAGCTTCTGTAAAGCAAAGGACACAGTCAGCAAGACAAAAAGGCAGCCCACAGAATGGGAAAAATATTCACTAATCCCACATCTGACAGAGGGTTGATCTCCAAAATTTACAAAGAACTCAAGAAGCAAGTCTCCAAAACACCAAAGGACCCTATTAAAAAGTGGGCTGCAGAACTAAATAGAGAGTTTTCAATAGAGGAGTCTAAAATGGCTGAGAGGCACTTGAGAAAGTGCTCAACATCCTTAGCCATCCGGGAAATGCAAATCAAAACAACTCTCAGATACCATCTCACTCCTGTCAGAATGGCTAAAATCAAAAACACCAATGACAATTTATGCTGGAGAGGATGTGGTGAAAGGGGGACACTCCTCCATTGCTGGTGGGAGTGCCAACTGGTTCAGCCACTTTGGAAATCAGTATGGAGATTCCTCAGAAAAATGGGAATAAACCTACCACAAGACCCAGCAACTCCACTCTTAGGCATATATCCAAAAGATGCCCATTCATACAACAAAGATGTCTGTTCCACTATGTTCATAGCAGCTTTATTTGTAATTGCCAGAACTTGGAAGCAACCTAGATGTCCCTCACCTGAAGAGTGGATAGAGAAAATGTGGTACATCTACACAATGGAGTACTATTCAGCAGAAAAAAATAATGGAATCATGAGATTCGCAGGCAAATGGATGACACTAGAAGAAACCATCCTGAGTGAGGTAACCCAGTCACAAAAAGAGAAACATGGCATGTACTCTCTCATATATGGATTTTAGACATAGATCTGGGGAGTGCCAGCCTACAATCCTATGGCCAGAGAGTCTGGGAAACAGAAACTTTATTTAGTGGCTGATCGAAGAAGAGGCAGACTCCCTTGGTTAAGTACTGAGCTGAACTCAAGAAAGCCAGTAACAGAGAGGGAGGACTGATGATCAAAGGGATTAAGACTGGGCTGGTTTAACCCCCAGAAACAGCTGACCAGACAAAGGTTAACTCTTGAATCCCAGGCATCAGCCTGGGAAGCCAGCATGGGACTGATCAAGACCCCCTGAATCTGGGTGTCAGTGAGGAGGCCTAGGGAATCTATTGAGCCTTGGGCAGCAGATCAGTACCCATCCCAAGTATACACACGGACTTTGGACTCCCATAGAACAATGTGAGGTGCACTCTCACCCCGAACTCTTGGGGAAGGGTCTAGGCCCTGCCCTATATGAAATGACAGACTATGCACACCCCCACGGAGGGCCTCACCCTCCCTGGGGAAATGAGGGGATAAGGGGGGGGGGGGGAGGAAGGGAGGGAATGGGAGAGGGACCTGGAACTGACTTGCGAAGCAACCTTGTTTCTTATCTAAATTTAAACTGGAAAATAAAATTTAAAAAAAAAGTTACCAGATATCTCACTACTTAGAGATAATTTGTGAAAAGGATTTTAATCTTCTCCTGAAGGAAAAAGAAACTAGATGAGTTTCGCTGAGGCCTCTGGTATCTTTTCTTACAGCAAAAGGTGATTTACTACCTCTGCATCTTACTGAAGGACCCAGGGAAGCCACATGAGATATCCCGAGTAGTCCCTGTCTTCCAGGTGAGTGCAGTATTCTTCCTTTCTCCTGTGAAATCCTGTCTTTGCCTGCTCCCCTTGCCTCTTTTGTTCAGGCGGACATGCATTTTTGTTGTCAGAGTATTGGGGATGAGTAAAAGGATCCTTTTTAGATCTCAGGGCCCCTCTCTGGCAAAGATACACTTAAAATATTAATAATTCACAAAAACTTTAGAGAAGAAAATTATCATATGACCACTTCTGCTTACAAATCACATTCTTCTACTTCAAGTCTGTCAGTCTACCATTGTATAATTTTACATTGATACCAATGAGGTTGAGATACTTTATTTATCTCTCTCACTCTCTCTATATTAATGTCTTTTCTACCACAGCCAGTATATTTAAAGATTATGTTCTATTCCATTATATTGGAATATTTATTTAACTATTTTATTGGTAGGTTTTAAATAATATCTAGATTATCTTTTCTTTTGATCTTACAATAAAAACCCCCTGGTGGCACAGTCTGTAATCCTCTTGTTTTAAATCCCGTTTCCTCTACTAGTTGAGTAGAACATAGAAATCAGTTATGTATTTGTAATAATTTTGTGTTATTTTGAATAGTAAACATTTATTAAACGACTTTCTACATACAATTTCTTATTCTGTGACTTGTCTTTTTAGTTGTGTTACATTTTATAATATAAAATCTTTTCAGAATGTACATACTAAACTGTTCATATTGTCTCTGAGGTGTACTTCACAACTTGTAACACTTTCTGAAATGGTCATCTCACTTTCATATAATTTTGTTAAGCTAAAAACTGTATTTTGCATGCCTGTAATCCCAGCATTTGAGAGGCAGAGGCAGGCAGATCTCTGAGGCCACCCTGGTCTACACAGGGTACCAACACAGAGCTTGTCTCAGAACAAAACAAAGCAAGCTGTCTTTTTATTTCCCACAAAGGACAGATTTAGAGACCTCCCAGCAAAGAGTTCAGAGGTTTGACCTGTGTCTCTTAGCTCACAGCTGTGCCATGACATATGTGAGAGGTTGAGGTTGCAGGTGGATTCTTCTTCTATTCTCCTTGACTCTGCGTTTCTCCCCTTTGGAATTCAGAGTGCCAAGCCCCGGTTGGACTGCTTGATTGAAGTATACAGGAGCTGCCAGGAGATCCTGGCACACCAGAAAGCCACATCAACAAGCCCATGAACCTCAGCATTCAAAGACCAGTATTGTCTTTATGGGAGAGGACTCCTAGACCATAGTCGCTGGTTTATCTCCTGTACTGTAAAACCATTAGGTGGAAACAGTCCTGGGAATAAAAATGGATGAGATGATCTCAGAGCCATAGAGGAGGCAGCTGGAACTTGACTCAGTGTTTTGATGTAACATCAAGTTCCTCTTGTAGTTTTTATCTACAGTACTAATCAAGGGGAGACCTTATGGATTTTGTCATATCAAAAGTAGGCCAGGCATAGTGGCTCATGCTTTAATCCCAGGACTCAAGAGGCAGAAGCAGGTGATCTAGAGTTTAAGGCCATCCAGGGCTACATAGTGATGAGCCCCCTTGCCCCCTCAAAATGTACATGAAGATCACTTTGAAATTTCTAAGCACATTTATATTTGTGTTAAAATCTGTGGAGTACTGAGTCTGATACCAGATTTTATAAGAAAAATATAATTTCCATCTGTATGGACTCTTGTCTAAAAGTTAGGAAGGTTTTTTTTTTAAATGTATGAATTAGGAATAAAATGCTTTCCAAGGGGATAGCCTCTGGCCCATCTAGCTCCTTTGATCTGTGCAAGATGACTCAATCCACAGTTTAGCTAGGGATGTTGTGGATGCCAGCAATTCCAGCACCTAGGGATGTCAACAAGAGGGTTGGAAGTTTTGAGGCCAACCTGGGCTACATGGTGTGGCACTGTCTCAAACTCTAAAATAAATAAATATCCAAAACACACCGTAATTGCCTGGTTCACTGACAGCTTTTTATTGACAGGCATACATAGCATTACAGCCATGAGTGTCAAGCACATTAGTACCTTTCTGTTACTTAGTATTTTCTATTGTTTCAAAAGCTGCTTTGGCCAAGAGGGCTTAGATGAAAAGTGAGAGATTTTGTGTTGGTCCCAGACATGGGACTGTCATATTAAAGGATGAAGAACCTGATTTACAGAAGCTGTTGTTTCTAAGGCAGTTTCTTAGATTCCTAGAGATCAGGAAGAAGAAAAGGAGCTGGGCTAGGTGGCCCTTGCCTTTAATCCCAGTACTCGGGAGTTTTTGGCTAGCCTAGTCTATGTAGTGAATTCCAGGACAGCCAGGACTACATAGTGAGACCCTGTCTTTGAAAGGAAGGAAAGGAAAAGGAATGGAAAGGGAAGAGGAGAAAACTTCAAGAGAAAAGGAGAGGCTAATCTGACCTCCAAATCTAGTACAAACAGTTCCGTTCTTTGGAGCTCTATTTACAAAACACCAGAGAGTAGACCACATCTTTTTTTACTTTAAAGGCCACTTGGGATGTGACCCACAGGAACTGTATTCTCTGACTTTCACACTAGCCTTGAAGGAGTTGTCAGGACACTATAGTGATGTCACTTGAGGTAGACCTGTGTCCACTAGAACCCCAGTCCTGGGGTGGGAGTTGGGGTTGGAACAGAAATGGCTGCCTGCCTTGCAAGTCAAACTTGTTCAAAGTCAGACTCTTGTGCCATTTTAAAGTCATGTTTGTCAGTTCAAAGGACAAGAAAAGAAAGATTACAGCAACTAAGGCATTTGAACAAACTAATTTCGGCTTTGCAGTTTTTTTGTTGTGTACAACATACATATTGTTGGGTTAAAGGTTTATTTCTTGGGTGCTGCTCCTATCCCCTCGTCCATGTTACTGAAAGAGATAGAACTGCCTTACAACTACACAATAAACTTAGTTTTTTTATATGTTGGAAAATCAAAGTATGAACTTTTGGTCTTTATTATTGGGGGGGTGGAGATAAAGATCATCTTCATCAAAATCAATTAGAAAGTCTGAATTGAGAAGGGTTGTGCCGTTCTCAGGAAGACATAAGTTGAAAGAAGCTTTCTACTTCCACATATTCCTAAGGCAAATATCACCCAGAAGATAGCTACCAGAAGTGTTGGCAAACAATCCAGGCCTTCTGGGAATGGAGGGGTCCTTAGTGTTCCTGATGTGTGGTCTCTTGGCCTCGTAGAGCAGCAACAAGCACGACTCACATGCTTCGTCTTTCAGAGGGTGGGGAGATGATGACTACCTCATCCTTCAGTAGTGAGCACAGCCTTCACTAAGCCCTGTTGGGCCTTAAAGTGGCACAGGGAAGGTGCAGACTGGATCTGTCCCTTCCTGTCCTAGTCCAGTGTGAGGAAAAGCTTGAATCTTAACAGGAATAGTGTGCTGCCCTGAAAAGATTAGAGGTACAGCCCCAATAGGGGCACAGCAAATGCCTCCTCATCAATAGTGGGGAAGCTTGTCATGTTTTCTCCAGTTCTGCCAGTATTTCCATTGGGAAAGTCGTCCAGTTTCAGAGATTTGTAGGCATTTGCCAGAGTTTAGGTGAATTAGGAATTTTAGTCCTATGTTGTTCAGGGATGTTCAGAAAACTTCAAGTATAAGCCCCCCACATAAGGACCACGTACAGTATAAAAGATGAGCTTCCCTGAGTATCAGCAGAAGCCCCAAATACAGTACCACTGCCCTGGTAACTATGGGCTATCTCTGTCTCAGTCTAGAATCAGGTAGCATCCAGACTCAGTATTCTTGTAAAGGAAATAGTAAGTGGTTTTGATGTTGGGTCCGGATTTTAAAATGTTGGGCCTTGAAAGATAAGGCACCTATAGAGTACAAAGGTTTCAGAGACCCTGAAATACACACTTCACAGAACAGTTTTGGGAGGGGGCCATTAGACCCATCACAGTAGTAGTATGCTCCAGGATAGAAATCTAATCCTAGAGGCACCAGTAGTGGCAGGGGTTTGGGGAAGAGAAATGTTCACAGCAAAGCCGACCCCTTAGTGCAGGAAGCAGAAGAAAAGAACTGTCCATCCAGGTCTCGGGGCTGGCGAGCTGCAGGCAGCTTGGTAGATGGATTCACAGTTGCAGAACAGTGGTTCATGTAGCTGGCCATCATAAAGGTAGTTTCTGTGATCTGAGGAGGTCAGAGAAGTGAAGAAATTGAGTAGCCTTGTCTTGAATGCTGATTTTCTCACTGGCTATAATATTGGGTACACATAGCCTTCCTGGGCTTTAGCTGCTTTCTTAAACTAAGGAGAAAAGCCCCAAAGAGCCCACTGTGATGTTTAGAGACCCAGCAAAATGTACCTCTGCTGGCCTAGAGAGCCTCTGAGATGCACAGAATGGAGGAACCGCAGTAGCTGAATCCGTTCCCACCAAGTACCAGCTCAGTAGTGAGATGGACATTACCGAGCCCTGTGGGATGCTGTTCATACACCAAGGCCAATGCTTGTATCTGGGGCAGAGTCTGTTTAAAGTTATCTCTCTAAGCACCAAGCTCACCACATCACACAAGCCAGAGGAAATTGTCATTGTAGCTGTCAGACCCACCTTAGGAGCAGGCATTCTGAAGATCAACTTGTCAATATGGGTTTTCCCAGAGTTGTGGTCTGGAATGGATCTAATCACAAGCATGAAGTCATCCCTGCAGCCACCAAACGTTGTCACTGAAGAGTAGGGATAAGTGATGTGCACTTGCTGTGGAAAGGAGCCAATTGAGTTCAGGAAAAACTCTACACCTGTTTCTTTTAGACACAGGGAGCCTTTACAAGGAAGGGAAACCCCAAGATGGCGATAATTTGGGGAGTTAAATCCTGACCTCTATAAGTTGTGTCTAGACTATAGGACAGCACTGCTGGGACAGAGGTTAGAAAGAAGGGACCATGCCACTTAGTTGAAAAGACAAGTGTCTAAGAAAGGTTGGAACAAGCCTTTTCCTCTCATACCATGGTGTGGTGGTCCAGGATGCTGACACCGTCCTCATTCACAGCAATCCACACCAGAGTGTTCTCCTTAGAAGACAGCTGGGCAGGCTGTAGAAACAAAAGGCTGTCAGACCCACCACAAGAGATTCTGAACCTAGGTACTCTCTGAGGAAGAAGGTACGTCCAGAGAGTGCCGGGCAGCCACATCATTGTGGAAAACAGAAAGTAGCATTTATATAGCATAGGGAATGCTGTGGCAGGAAGCATTTGTCCTTGGGGTTCTGCCACCCAGCATCCAGAAGGTGGAGGGAATCACACCTGCCGGAACACTGGGTGGAGAGCTCTGAGTAGTACCATACAGGCCAACCTAGGGGCTGGGGATCTCTCACAAGCAAAATACATCTTGCTTTAATCAATTTCCTTGGGACTATAAAAGAAGTAGGAAGACATTTCAATGGGATGGACTTTAGGTCCTCTCAGTGAGTTTGTGACTATTTGATGGCCATTTCCTGGGTGTTTCTTTCAGTGCTACAATAAAGTACTCCAGCTCTCTCTCTACCCAAAAGCCTGGGGGAAGGAGAAGACATCCTTTTTTTGGAAGCTTTTTTCAACCTTCCAGGATAGTGGCATTCTATTATAATACCACTGTACTTTTACTGCACGGTCTTGTGACCATTTGTGTGCACAGACTGACTGACAGACAGACAGACAGACAGACAGACAGACAGACAGACACACACACACACACACACACACACACACACACACACACACACACATTGGAGGTATAGCTTAGGGGCAGGAAAAGTATTCTTAGCATATGCAAGGTCCTGGTTTGGTTCCCAGCATATCCCCAAAATTAAACAGATTATGTTGCTTAGAAAGATTGAAAAGTGAGTATGAAGAATAACATACAACTCCCTGATTGTTCTGTTCTCACTAGTTGGAAAGCCTCCTAAAGGCAAGGGACTGATTTGTTCATTTCTTTAAAATTTTTAAGAAATTTATATTTAATGTGGATGATTATTTTGCCTGCATGTGTGTCTGTATCTCACATGTGTGCCTGTATCCAAGGAGGCCAGAAGAGGATGTCAGATCCCCTGAGACTGAATTACAGACAGTTGTGAGCCATGTGTAGGCTGGGAATCAAACCCAGGTGCAGGCAGTACTCTTAACTACTGAGCCATCTTCATTTTTTAAATTTTAGACAGCTAAACCTAGAAATACCATGCATTCAACAACCTGTCTGTCTATGCCAGATAGATGAGTGGATGTCCATTTTCTAATCTGAAGTTGTAATGATCAGGATCTAGATCCAGTCAATGTCTGATTATACTGTCTGGTCACAGGGTAATGTCTGTGATTATCTGTAAAGTTCATGCACACCAGACACCTACTGAGGAAACTTCCAACTGAAATTACTGCTTGCCTCCTGGCCTTCATGCAGAGGTGAAAGTAACTGTTATCTGAGTAGGCTGGTTCCCCCCGGGTGGTCCACCTCTCTCTACTTCTGGGTCTTTGGGTGGCCACTAGAGAGGAGTTGCTTAGGTTATACATTGTTTTGTCTTCCAGCCTTTTTGAGCCTGAATCTTCATGTGTGAGTTAGTTGAGCTTGTCTTTGCAGGAGAAGCACTGACAAGTCCATAAAGGAAGCCATGGAACTCTGAAGCAGCCAGAAATGGGTGGGGAGATGGCAACTCCTAGGGTTTGACAGTGAGGAGGTGAGGGCTGCAGACTGGATTGATGGACACAAGAGTGGCGGGTGGGGGGGGTCTCCAGGAGAAGCAGCATTCGGAGGGTTTGGGCAATTCCTTTTCCTGTCACTCACCTGAGCAGCAAAGAGCTTAGCACCAAAGAGAGGCCATTTCCGAGCCACAGTCAGGTAGATGCGGATGCACTCAGAAGGGGAGCAGCCTTGCAGTGCTGCCCACTTGGTGGCCATCATGTCTGCCAGGTGCCTGGTTTGCGTGCGTGAAAAGAAATGGTGCCAGTGAAGTGCCCGCCTGTTTTCATCACAGCCCTGAGCCCCACGGGCTTCCTCTTAAGACCTTGCCTCCAGCCTACCTCAGCTGTTCAGGGGGGGGGCCCCATTTCGATACCGCCTTGGGTAGAACCTGTCGAGGACCTGCTGGAGGAGATGCTGAGCTTTGGCAGGAGGTGTACCCCCAGGACCTGGCAGGATAGGCTTCTCCAAGTCCCCGTATTCCACCTGAGGTAGAAAGAGATAACAGTCCGGGGGTGATACAGCTGCTATTCGAGAGGTAAACAGCCCTTACCATATTACTGCTGTTTATCACATAATGGTGATAATTTATCCCATGTTTCATAGACATTAGAGAAGCATCCTTAGGGTTCTAGAATATGAGATCATCTAGATCAGCTCTCATTTGCAGCTAAATGCTAGAAGGTGGAAGAGTCACAGACTGGAGGACAGAAGAGGCTGGTGTCAGACGGCCAGCTCAAGCCACAGACTAACACTAAAGGACAGAAGAGGCTGGTGTCTAGACAGCCAGCTCAAGCGTCGGCCCTGCCACTTAGCAGTTTTGTGTCTCCATGAGTGTCAACGTCATTCTCCTAGGTGGGGATGAAAACACAGGCAAATACATTTGAAATGTTAACACGTGGCTTGCTATAGAGTATTCATATTAATGATTACAATAATGAAGAGCCACTGTGTAGCCACTGTGTAGCTTGGAACCCAGACTGGACTTAAATTTATGCCAACTCTGCCTCAGTTCTCCAAATGCTGGAATTATATGTGTGCCACCACATCTGGATAAACCCGCTCTTAAAGAAACCATGAAGATATCCTAGACAAGCCCATGCAGATATCCTGCTAAAGGCGAGACAGAAGAGAACCATTCTGAACCTGTGTTCTTTCTAGTTTTCTACTTAGATGTGGGGTGGTTCATAAAGTTTACCGTGTGCATTGTGTCACATAAACTGCTCCTTTACACACCTGGAGGCAGGGAGGAGGGAATTGTGTTTCCCACACACATAAAA